AAATTTGCTGGTTAAATAGTATGTATTAGCTGTATTCATCTTTACCTGGATAAACAGGAACAAGTGGAATAACAACAGTTCTGATGGGTAGTGAAATTTGCTGGTTAAATAGTATGTATTAGCTGTATTCATCTTTACCTGGATAAACAGGAACAAGTGGAATAACAACAGTTCTGAAGGGTAGTGAAATTTGCTGGTTAAATAGTATGTATTAGCTGTATTCAAGATAAGAAAGTCTATTTATTTCTATTAATCATTTTCCAGGGAAAAATAGACTACACCTCTCAAAATATCTAATTAACAAGTGACAATGACTACCTATTACGAAACACTCATCTAGTGATTCATATCATTGTTTCTGGATTTTATTTTGTTGTAAATTTACAGTTTCTATGAGTCAGATTATCATTTTCCAGAAATATTTTTAAAACAAGCAGTTCTTAATTGTTGTTTTCAATTATCAGTTTGTATTTGTATGTGATACTGTAACCCATGAAAAAGGCGTAAGTCGTAATATTGGGTTTGAATAAAATCATTGTTTCTGTAGTGTGATTAGTCATTGTTCTTAAACATATTTTAGAATCATTTAGATTTTAAAGAGAATGAGAATTTTAATACACTATCAACCAAATTCCTAAATTTGACAAAATTTTCAGTGAACTGACTTTAAATCATTTCAAAAAGCATCACCAGGTAAAATAATAAATATAACAAAAAACAAGTCTAATTTTTGGCAAGAAATGTGCAAAGTATTTTGTTAAGTTTAGTTGTTTTCAGTTCCTCAGGTTCCTGTCTAAGATGTGTAAAACTACTAGTAAAAAGAGCAATTACACAGTTATATAACAGCTCACTAGATGGGATGGTATGAGCTCAAGTGTTATTCTAACAAAAGAGTATAGACTGTGGTTACGTTTAATTTCAGTACTTTCTATTAGTATGATTCCACATTATGTACTTCATTTGGTCATTGTCCATTTAAATATGTAGCTCTTTCAGCTTCTTGCTTTGTTGACATAAATTAATAGAGATAAAACATACATGGTTTGTCCAACATAAAAATACAAGAAAAAATAGGCCTAACTTTTAACAGATGTAGCATGAATATATAGCAATATAGAAGAGAAGATGAGGGTTAAACACTATTAGAGAAAACATCACATGTATGTCAGTGTTAATATACTGAATTATATTTTTTCATATAACATAATGAATTATATTCTATCATATAAACAATGATGCTTAAAATAACTTATAATGAACATAAGTAACTATCGAATAAATATTTTCTTACCCTTGGAACTTATGATGTTAATGTGCAACAAAAGTGTTAACCAAATGTATATAAATAACTTTTTAATGGATATTAATTAAAGGGGTGAGTGGTTTTGATAGTTCTACTATAAATCATAAACAAGGCAACTTAATGAACATAAGTAACTATTGAATAAATATTTTCTTACCCTTTGAACTTATGATGCTAATGTGCAACAAAAGTGTTAACCAAATGTATATAAATAACTTTTTAATGGATATTAATTAAAGGGGTGAGTGGTTTTGATAGTTCTACTATAAATCATAAACAAGGCAACTTAATGTTAGTAAGTCAACAGATAACTAAAAGTGTAAAAGTAACTTTCAATTTTTTGTTTAATTATTTGGAATTGGATAATGTTAAACCATTCCTGTTCACCATCCTGGATTCAATATGGTTTTTACCAACAGAAGGCCATCATTTTGAGGTCACTTCCTACCTTGGTTCAGAGGTCAAGGTCAATAATCAAAATCATGTAATCTTATACCATACTAATTTATAACTTGGAAAATATTACACACAGACATAGTAAATTTGATCATTTGATGCTTATAAATATGAAGTAACTTACACACTTGTTAAGCAAACCTTACATTGAACTATTTATTCAAATAAAAAAATCAGTAACACTCAATAGCCATTTATTTTATAAATGAAAATATTATAACACAGCTATGTTTAGATTCAACAAATCTTTAAGTACAGTACCTCCAATAAGTCACATCTACCTAACAAGTAATCATATTGTAATCTTTATAAACTTAACAGTTCTTCAAATTAGCATTTTGCTATTTGAAAATTCTCTGAATTTGTAATATTTAAAGTTATCCTTGCCGCATCAAAAATCTTAACACTTAAAAGACTACAAAATAATAAACAAGTAAACTCATTCACTAACATAAGGATTTCATAACAAAATTAATACTAACCATGGACTTTCAGTGAGCCTGTAGTGACAGCCTGACCTTTATTATTTGTAGCTCGACACGTGTAAATACCAGCATCACCAGTGTAAGCATGAGAAATATCCAGTGTGACAAAACCAAAATCATTTTTAACCATGAACTTGGTGGCTGCATAAGACAGAAATAATGTACAACTATTTAAATCCAAATATTAAAGAAAAAGAAATTATTTTTATCCTACAAATGGATAAAACACATTACAACAATTTTTAACAGGAAACATTTTTTTTAAGATTCTTCACAGAAATTATGATTTGAAATAAACTTCAAACTGATTTTATGTATTAAAAAACAATCAATCAATAAAACTGATTGCCAAAGATAACATAAAAAGGAAAACTTCCACACTATATTTTAAAGAATCTGGTTGGTTCCGTAGAGTAAAGGTCTGATCCGATTAATAGGGTTGCAACCCTAAAGCTAATGTGAGTTACTATCAAGTGTCACTTTCTTACTTGCTGTGGTTTGTTGGTGTGTACTAAAAAAGTTATGATATCTAATTAAAACACCTTAAGTGTGAAAAAAAGGTGTGGCCAAAAATGGAACTGAGTGAGCGACTTAAAGGAATGAAATCAAAATTCACGGCCAAAATGGTAGCTACAGTTATAGAATTGATAAGACTTTTACGGCAAATATTCGTTCATTAATTAGCTAGGTTGCATGTTTTGTTTTACCCACAATCATGCCCTAAGTTGAACAAAAAATGTGGCCTGGCTAACTAATGAATGAATATATCCTGTAAAATTCTTATCAATGCTATAAGTGTAGCTATCAACTTGGCTACCAATTTTGATTTCATTCCTTTAAGTCACACACTCAATCCTTTTTGGCTGCAGCTTTTATTCACACCTAAGGTATTTCTGATTAGATAGAGAATACACATGATAAACAACACAGTACTTACCTGGGTATTCTTTTATTTGGCTGTTGACTGTTGATGAAACTTAACCCTATTTTTTTATACTAATGTTTTTATTTCATTAAACAATGCAGCTAAAAGACAAAATAATAACACTTAAAAGTGGACAATGTCCTATAACTATCATAATTTTTCTGGCTTTCTAACTATGCAATAAGCTAAGCTTGTCAATATGTTTCCTGTGGAAATAAAGTTTGAACTCGAAAGGAAACAGACAATTCTCTGTACAGAAAACAATGTCATATAATACATCATTTGATAGATTAAAACTTAGGTTTTCTGTTGGTTATAAATCAAATAGTATTTAACGTCAGAGAGAACTATTGGCAATTTTTGAAAGAGAGGATGTGACAGGTGGGCATGGCAAGTAAGTCTGATTTTTCTAGCTTATGGCTCTGTAACCAAATAAGATTGAAGGCTATATAAATTATACGTTACCCGAGTAACTATATCATAATGAGTAATCTACATTAAATTATGTAGTTCTCAGAGGGGTGGTAAATAAATTAAAGAGGAGGGAAGACCTAGAGAGCAAATGTCACAATTCTCATACTAGGGGAGATTGAGGAATTTTAAAAAAATATTTCCTCATAAAATTAAGAACTTATGACTTTTAAAATATTAAAATTAGATTTATTAACTACATTTTGATGCCAAGTTTATTTGTATACTATGATAATAAAGTAGTTTCATTAAATTTTGAGGGTAACACTAAAAAACTTGTGACGTGTGCACTTTAACGTACCCGTGATAAGACAGTTAAATGTTTTCACCTGACAACCTTCCTCAATAACCAGATTCTTGGTCTGCTAACATTGTTGTAACTTCTAGTTTAACCAAAGTTTTACTTGCTAAATTGAGACAATCATATGAAGTTCAAATTTGTTATTATGTCTGCTGAAGGTAAACTAATGAGTTTATGTGAAATATCTTTACTTGAGATCAATGAAAGCACCCTTTTTTATCATATTCCTGTCATTTAGAACAGAAAGTAAGCTATTTAATATTCATAAAACGTTTCTAAGATGATTAACATATTCTGTTTGCTTGTTTGTTTGTTAAGCACAAAGCTACACAATGGGCTATTTGTGCTGTGACCATCATGGGTATCAAAACCTGGTTTTTAAAGTTATAAGTCCATAGACTTACTGCTGTGCCACTGTGTGCAATTAATATATATATGTTAAAAAATCAAAAATATTAACATTTCATTTATATAAAAAGTCTACTATCATTAATTTACTCAAGCAAGGTAAGGCATCACACAGACACTTTAAAAAAAATTGGCCATGCTCTCATACTTCTTTCTTTGTGACTTTCATTACGAATTATTGATTAGATAAAAAATAATACTTTATATAAGTAAATAAAACACAGAGGGAGAACATTGAACAGGAAAATTATCCTTACATGCATTTTATGTTCCTATACCACTCTTCATTGTGGAATTTTGCAGTAAGAAAACAGTGCTAAAAATAAGTGAGGACTAGAAAGAGTGGCACATGAAAATTGTACTTCTCTCCAAGAGTTTTGATTACCTGCCGGGAGAGGTTTTCCATTGACTAAGAAGTCGATGATGAGAGTTGGATCTCTTGATGGTTCAACTTGACATTGGAAGTGTGCTGGCTCTCCTTCTCGAAGCTCCAGGTTGTTTAGGTGGGTTATAAATACAGGACTTTCATACGATGGCTCCACAAACTCGGGTTCAGACCTGAAAGTAGTTTCCAACTGTTGAATCTTTGGAAGACTCCCTGGATGTTGACTTCCTGATAAGACCCCTTCACGACCTGTAGCAGATAATCAAATACATTAAACACTGATGCTCATGAACTTGTTGTAGTAAATACAGATACCATTACAAATTACCAAATAAAGATAATAAACTCTCTCTATTTATAAATTATCAAACCTAATCCTTTACTCTTAATTATTGTTATCTTAGATGAATAAAATACATTTAACTTAAAATATTTTGTTACTTAAATCTCACATAATGAATATAATGTTCATCTGACCCAAGTAAACATTTCACCCTCAGGTTGGTCTTTAGAAGATAATATTTAGTAACTGTATGACAACATCGTATATATTTCTACTCATGGCAAAGCTACTAAAGCTATTTGCTGCCATCCCTAATTTTAAACAACTGATCAGAGGGAAGGCAACCAATCAGCAGCACTGTACAACTTATCCTTCCACACTAAATACTAACTGCCATTCTTCTAACTCACCCACACCTTAAAGTACATGAAATATTTTTTGGCATCACACAGATTTGAATCCAACTTACCAGTTCTGAAATCCAGAGCTCTACTATATTATAATCACTCTGTTCAAACCCACAGTAGAAAATAAGTATACAGGAATAAAATCTGTGTGTCAAAGTTACAATTCATCAGTGTTGATAAATATATATTGCTAAATTTACCAACAACATCATACAATCACTCTGCCATTACTTACAATTTATACACATATTCTATTATTAAAAAAAACATTCTCCAGATTATTTGATGATAATGTTAACTATCTAATAAGCAAGAGAAAAGTGTTTTTAATTCCGTTTATTGGTGAAAAACTCTTACAAATCTCTTTATACCAAACAATCCCATGTTTGAGTTTATTGTAAAACTTAGACCAATCAAAGTTCATCATTTGAACTCCTATAACTTTTTTTAGTCACACTTCTAGCATCAGTCTTGTTCATCTAAAGAAAACACTTCTAACATCAGTCATGCTGATCTAAAGAAAACACTTCTAACGTCAGCCATGCTGATCTAAAGAAAACACTTCAACATCAGCCATGCTGATCTAAAGAAAACACTTCTAACGTCAGCCATGCTGATCTAAAGAAGACACTTCTAACGTCAGCCATGCTGATCTAAAGAAGACACTTCTAACGTCAGCCATGCTGATCTAAAGAAG